AACGGAGGCCAATATGGAAAATGAAAGAATTATCTCCGCTACAAACAAGCACTGCAAAACTGAGAATCATTTCCCTTATATCCTTGTCCCCAGAAATCTACCCCATTGCATATTATTTTAGAAGTGGGCCTACCCAGTAGAGCGATGGCATGTCTTTCCATGGCAAGTCCAGGTGAAACAGGGAAGTCAGATTTGCCATTAGGTTGGTGTAGTCAGGTGCGTGAGGAGGCAGTTTGAAGTCTTGGGGTTACTGAAGGCAGATGGCTTTGTCTGAGCAGGGGCAGCCTTGGGATTCGAGAAGAAACTAATCTTGCTTCCAGGTATTGCTTTACTCCATGTAGGAAGATGTCCTGCAGAAATAGATGGCACAGTTCAAAATCCAAGATACCAATTTGAAATAGACTTAAAATTCTGTAATTGTGTTTCTTTGGCTTGAAAACAAATTCCTTTTGGCTTTTAAAAAAATACAATACCTATGAAACTGATGTTGGAAATATGTACTTCTGTGAAACGGTAGAATATGGCCTCAAGAAAGGCAAATGTCATGAATTCCAAAAATGTGTTACAGGAATTGGGTGACACTTTATTGTGAAAATATTTGGCAAACAAAAAGAACCTTAGATGAAAGTATAAGCTTATCTGATTCCATGATTACATTTTCCTCTAAGGAGAGTACACCCGTTTGGGGTGAGCTCTGAGGATAAACTGGTGGTAGACATCAGGCACAAAGTGCTTTTTGGAAGTGCACAATTAAGAATATGAATATTAAAAGGTAGAAGAGGAAACATGGATTGCTGGAAATGTGATGTACCTTTTCCAGGTACAAGGACAAACACTGTAAAAAAAAACCCAATGCATCCCGTGAAAGAATACAGAGTCAAGGGTACATCTTGTAATGAACCTACTCAGGAGTTATGGAAATGACTGCCAGCTGTTCCTGACTGAATACTACTTGAGGCGTGATAACTGAGAAGTCCATATGGTACCAAAGGCAAACGGTTAATTAGATACATCACTTCTAGTCACATAAATCCACACTCCCCAAAGGGAGAAGATTCATTGTAATGCATATGGCAGGAGGGTGACTTTCAAAGATGCAACAACTCTGGCTACTAAAACATGCTACTATTTCAGTGGCCATCTTTGGAGCAGAGAGTCTAACACAATTATTTCGATGTCTCTTTTGACAAAGGATATATATATACAAGGACATACAAAGATCATGGGAAAAGTATGAAAATGCAATGTGTGGATTTCAGAAACATTTTTGTCAAAATAAGCTTGTCATTTTTCCTCAAGCTTTTTGAAATACCCTGATATAACATCTGTAATGAGAATTATTGTGCATGTATACCCCATGGCAGGGAGAAGGAAGGAAAGGCAGTTGGCTCTTTCTGTGAGTTTCTGAAGATAATCCAGTCATACTTCTATCTCTAAAATAGACCTTTGTTGAGGGAACTCCAAAAGTCAGTGGCAAAAATCAATGGAGACTTTCCTTTACTACTTTAATTATTTCAATCTGGAAACAGACATAGTGTAAAAGCTACCTCTGATTTCTTGTCTCCCTTTTTTAACTTATTTTATATTACAGTTCCATAGGCTCTGGGATTGCCCCTTCTCCTTCCAAAATCCCCTCCCCACTGATTTCCCCTATATTATTATGATAGTATAGTTCTTCAAAAACAGAAGTCCATCATTCTGCTATTTAAATGTATCCTGACATTGTAGGTATGGAGAATAGCAGAGTGTCCAGCATCCTATTGTCAAGATATATTTCACAGTTTCATTGGGAGTCCATCTTTGATTTGAAAGTAGAGATGCATACTGCATTGTGTCTTCACAACCTTAACTTTTTTTTATTTTAATTTTTGATGATTTTTTACACAGTTCAAGGCATATAGAAAGGTAGGTGGGTGAGATCACAATTTCCACACTCTTTTTTTCCTTCCTGTATCTGGGGAAGGGGTCAGACAAGGAGAGAAGCCACACCAGCCTCCCAAATACCTCTGCACCCTGGGATGGAGGACAACCATGCGATACCACCCTAGGGTCCCCATTCTGGGGCATGCTCTGAGGGTCCTGTTCATGAGGTTTTGATGGTTCAACAGTTCTGAAGTATTGCCCATCTTGCCACTCCAAGCATGTTGAAATCTCTCCAGAATCCATTGATATAGTCCACCTTAGAGTCTCCATTTGCCCAGGAGACTCACTGCCAACACTTGGGTGGGGTAGTTGATCTATTTGTTCTCTCCTCCATCCTGTTATGTGTCATCTGCAGCTTCCAATGTACTTTCATATACTTCATATGCACCTGGATATGCTGTCCAGTGCTGCCACTCAATATATATATATTGTGTGTGCCTGTCTTCCTGTTCTTGATTCTCACTGGCAGAAACTTGGTATCTTCACTAGGGTGCGACCTGAGCTTTCTCAGGAGTGGCAGGGTCTAAAATGAAGACAATTGACAGTAAGTACTCAGGTGTCTTGTGGGTTGTGTACTTCCTGCGAAACCGCCACTATGCTACTGCTGAAGGAAGCTCTTTGGGGACATTAGGCACTCCCTCCTCCCCCCATTCCTGTGTGTCTAGGTTGAAAATTGCACTTTTCCCTGATAAATCTTGCTCAAACAAAAAGTTGCCGTCCAGGTTTATGGCCGGTGCATTTTATATTCATCTCATGACAACATAAATGATCTGTTCACGAGTTTGTATTGTAACAACAAAAGAGAGATGCCGTGGGACTCTGATTTTTTGTTCTGTAACCCTATTCCCTATATTTTCCAGCATGTATGTCCTGAAGAGTGTTGCTAGCACTCTGAAGGGGCAGTGTAGAAAAAGGGAGGCAGGCCTAATTAAAAACACCCTTGTTGCATTCACTTGCAGGTTTATGAGATAATGTCCAAATACCTGCAGCTGGGTATGCAGTAATAGGAATGCGATGTTTACACTTAAGAAACCTGGAAATGTGCATATTTTCATAAATAAACTTTTAAAGTATATTCCCAGTAGAAACAGCAAATAACTTTCATATCATTCCTTCTCAAGCCTCTGGATCCTACCTGTAAGAGGCAATGGGACTCACTGTATTTTGTGACTGTGTAACTCTAGCTCATTAATCAACCAGGCTTTGAAATTTCATCATAAGGATTGTTACAGTTCACACTGTTATGTATTCCAATGGCTTTGTTTCAAATGGTAGTTTTTCAGTTGGAGAAGCTGTTCGATGTCATTTTGAGCTCAGTTAAACTCATTGCTTTATAGAGATGTGATTACTTTCATGTTCTGATTAAATGGTCAGATCGTTCTCTTGCATCTTGTTTAGAAAGCCGCAAGCAATAAAGAGCAGTATTATTACCGAGGAGCATGGTTTGATTTGGCTGTCCAGTATTGTATGTAATATTTATTGTCTATGATGACATAAGATATGCTTTCCATAGTATGTAATGGAAAGAGATTATCAGATGAAAAGGTCACATGCTTTGTCTTTGAGAAAAGGTTTCATTTGAAATAGAAACCTGACAAACATACCAGGTGCTGGTTACTATAGAGCCAAGAAAGACCTTTCCAGCTGTTTACACTTGGGATGTAAAATGGCAATTTGACATAGACTAACAGTGTGATGTGAGCATCTGCGTAAAAAGGCTACATATGGAGCATGCCCAGAGCCAGGAGTACTTCCTCCTCCCTCCTGCTCTCCTCCCCCTGGAGATCTCTAAAGATAAGGCTTGAACTTTGCACTTGCAAATGTCATTGCATACGTTGTGGGTAGCACCCCCCCCAGGTTTTTTTTTTTTTAAAGGCTCTGTTACAACTAATTTCTTTTAACCAGCCATGAGCAGTGAAGAGAAAATTTTAGGGTAATAAGATGCAATAAGTTCAGAATGAGTTGATGCTCATCTGTGAATGCTCTTGAAGTGTGCTTTATTTTGAAAGCAACATAGAGAACTGGAGTGTGTGTATTTCCCCCAGCAATGGGGAAATAAGACTCTCCTCGGATGGGAGTCCACCAGGACTGTAGTGAAAGCCCTGGAGGCAGAAAGAGACGGAGAAGAGGGGCTTGTCCGGAGCATGGATAGGAAAGGAGCTGGGGTTCTTCAGGGCTCAGCACGCACGGAGAATCTGTGCCCAGGGCTGCAGCTGCGGACGATAAAGGCGCTGTCTGGCTAATGAAGGCCACCTGGATCAGGCTTCTGAAAAGAGCCAAGGGAGGAAGGCTGAAGAATTCCGATATCTGTGTAAGCGTAAAAGCGTTCCTTTGGTGGGGATGTTGTTTGCTTTTCTGTTGTTGGAGAGGCAGAGGGTGGTTTGACTGAGTTAATATGATTATGATTGCAAGAGTGGGAGCCTGGGAGATTCTTCACATTTTTTGAGCTCCTTTTTCTGTGCTGTGATTTATTGCTGGATGAGATATCCCGGGTAGGTGTTTTCTGTAAGCAGCTTTTATTAAATATCCAATGAAAAGGTATTTCAGTGTGTTGCTGATGTTTTTGAAGGGTTCTGGCGTCTTACAGTTTCATCAGAGAAAGTACAGGTATATAAAAAGGTATGCAAAGATACTTAAAATTTATTGGAGATCTTCTCACGGTAGTGACATTTTGGAGAGTTCAAGTTTATAACTCATTACACTTTTTTTTTGAAAGCTTAAAATCTTTCAAGCAAATACTTGCTAAGTAGATTATTCTTCAAGCTATCCTTGAAACCTATCAGTGCCCTTCAGCTCTGCACTGCACCACTGAGCTCATTTAATTATCAAGGAACTTGTTCTGGCTTCCAGGAGGGATAGTTTTTGGACTGTAAGACTTGCAAAAGATTGGTAACCTGACAGCTGCAACTACCTTACCAAAACATGATTTTCTAGCTGGGTTGCTGAAAAATGGACTGTTCCCCCCTCCCCTTTTCAGGAATGTATAGCACAATCCAGGAAGCTACCTGCCCTGTGAATGAGTCTTACCTAATGCAAACCTCACAGGGTGACTGCATTTTACGAATTTTCCTCTGCAGGGCTCGGCAGACTCCTACACCAGCCGTCCATCCGATTCAGATGTGTCTCTGGAGGAGGACCGGGAGGCAGTGCGCAGAGAAGCTGAGCGACAGGCCCAGGCACAGTTGGAAAAAGCCAAGGTAAAATCGTTTCTTTGCTGCCAGGACTTTCTTTGCATGGTGTGCTATGCCAGTGATGAAAGAACTATAGAAGTCTCTCCTACAGCTTATGTGTGGTGTGTGAGAGTATCTGAGTGCCTGCTCTAAACAGGTGCAAGAAGGAGAGCATGTTTCTTTCCCTGGGTGTAAAAGGGATAACTGCATCTGACATGATAACAGTTTACTTTCGAATAAATGGCTGTTTACAAACCAACTTTCTCCAAGATAAATGTTTTTTTTCTGAGACTGGAACTGCTGAATTCAGTCAGCTAAATTGTACTCCATAAATATCTTATAATAATGTCATATGTTTACGAAGTGGGTTGTAGTATGCTTTCCAAAGATAAAGCAACTTCAGATTTTATTGATTTTATAAAATCCTTCCCTGGGAATACTCTATCCCATAGTATAAGCTGGAGGCAGAAGCCAACGTGAAACGAAGTTAAAGCATTGCTCCCCGGCTCTGTTGCATTTCACTGATTGTAATGATCTAAAATCTTTCTCCTGTGCAGAAAGGGGCTCTTCTAACAGCAGCTCTTTCCAAAGCTCAGGTTATTGTCCAGGTTTTGGGTCCCTTGGTTTTGTTGATGCTCAGTAACTTGTGAGTGATCATATTTTAACAAAATTGTTGGTTCTCTTTTGAAAAAAATGATTGCTTTGAAAAGAGTAGGTACTGTGTTGAACTTGCTAGAAAAATCAGGGTAGCATTACAATGCTTCCTCTGGCTGCTTCATGTCTGAGATGAGTAAAATCCATGTGTGTTGCTATGGGAATCGTGGCTTGGAGATTCTGGTTTGAATGCATGGACAGCCCTTATGTAATATTCATAACCTCTAGCCCAGCTGCCATCGTAGTTTACTGAGGAACTGCCAGGAGACCTTGGCTTCTAAAAAGCATTATTTCCATATACCAAAACAGTGTTCTCATCTCACCTGGCAAGGAAATTGTCTGAGGGTCTGACAGTCGTAACTGCAAGACTGCTGGTAGACAGCATAAGCAGGGGTGTGGGTGTGAAGGTAGAAAGGGATAAAGCAAGGTGTGGCCCAATTGTCAACTGATCCTCCCCACCACAGTTAGCCATTTAAAACCGGAGGAAGCTGAAACTGATACAGTAAAGAATAAGTGTATGGTTAGTAAACTTAATTGCCCTATAGATTATAGTTAATGGATATTATAGTTAACAACCCAAATTCTACTTGCTGCATTTTGTACCTGGGTGTAAAATGAAAAGACTCAAGACAAATAAGTTTGTATTCTGGAAATAAGGCTGTTCTATTTGTGGCTAATTTATTCATGTGATTTTCACACACCAAAATTAAACAGTTTCTCGGATTCATAGCCCATTATCATATAACCAGTGCATTATAGCTTTGTTTCTCCGAGTCTTTATCTGATTGCAGTATGTGTTTCTGTCCATAAAATGGATGCTAGAAGTAAGTTGAAGCTACACAGCTGCAGGAAACGTGGAGCTGTCTTTTAACCTGGCACAGCTGGAAATGTTGATCCTTAATTCAACCAGGTTCCTCTTTCCTGGACTTCAGCCTAAAGAGTTGATGGTTACAAAAGATGTGGACAACGAGAGAGGATTTAAAACAAAGGCACAATAATTGAACTGTTTCCTGTGCCTAATTATGAAAGCTATTTGTTTATATTGATTTTTCTACAAGATCCTGTCGGTCTCTACAATCTCTGATGTATTCAAATGAATGAGGATTTGAATAGATCTTGAAAGAAAAAAGTAGGGTTTATGTTATGTGAAAAAGCATAATTTGATCTGTCTGGTTTATTATTTCCAATATCCTTGAAGAAAGAAGGCAAAAGGAGAATTGTGGCCGGCTAACTCTTTTAGGTTACTTTATTCTCGGTGTATGCTCTTGCCTTGGGGTGGGACCTATTTCAAAATGAAGCTATAAAATGTATGAATTTTGTGTATGCATGCTGGGCATCCATTTTGGAAAGAACCACATGTTTTATACATTGATATTGTAACCATCATAGCATCCCTGAAATGGGAAGAATTCACAAGGCAGTGTGTTACCCTACACACATACCCACTCCAGCCCCCAGCTCCAGATCCCGGGTGATAAATCCATGCAGACACCTGGTATAGACCCCAGCCGAGCTCTCAGACCCTGGTCCTATATAAATAGGAACTACATTATCCTTTAATTGTCTTAATAATAGCTCTGTGAAATAAGATAATTGGCAAGTAGTGAAACTAGAGACTCTGTCTTTTAAATTAAGTGACCTACAAAAGGTTATATAATGAGGCTCTGTGCTGCCAGTAAAACCCAGTGCTTTTCACTGACACTTTATTAATGGCTTATCTTAAGCTGGCAAACTGTGGTGAACAGATCCTGTGTTAATTTTGAGGGAAATACATATTGAGTATCACAGATAATCCTTGTTTTTTAGCTTGATGTTTTCTTATCTCAAATATGTGTTTTGAACTTAGTTTTGGCCTATTTTGCAAATCCTGCCTGCTTGAAGTTGATTTTGTCTGAGATGGCTTTAAGGACACGTGTTTAAGTTGTTGCTGCATTGATCATTTTGTGAAAGAGAACTTTATTGAAACATAATTCATATGCGAATTTGTGGTTCAATAGCTTTTAGCATATGCAGAGTTGTACAGCCATCAGTATAATCATTTTTAGAACAGTTTCATTATCCCAAGAAGAAATCCCACGCCCATTAGCACGTACTCTGAGTTCTCAAGTACCTTAACCTGGAAAATCACTGTTCAGCTTTCTGTCTCTACAGATTTGTCTATTCTGGAAATTATATATAAATGGACTCATATAATAGGAGTTTCTTTATCTTCTGTATGCTTTCACTGTACCTTTATACTGAGTAGTGTGTGTCATTCTTTATATTACCTAGTAATAATTCATTCTGTATAAAAGGGTACTTCAAGACCATATGCGGAAGATGTATTTAAAAGATAAGTTTAGGTATAGGCAGTAAGAAACCTCTTGCGACACCTGCAGATTCTTTTGGAGTGCCTGAATTCAAGTCCTGTCTTTCCTCTAACTTCCAGTTTCCAACTTGCAGCTGATGGGCTCCTTGGCAACTGGGGACTCCTGTGTTGGGTCCTGTCACCCAGATGGAAGACCTAGGTTAAGTTCCTGACTCTCACCTTCTGCCTGGCCCAGCTCAGTTGTTGCCATTTGGGAAAAATGAACCAGTAGATGATACAGTGATCTTTCCTTTTCTCTGTCTGCCTTTCAAAAGTAAATGAATAAATAAATTTTTGAAAAGGTAACTATTTTGTTACAAAAACTCTATGCAGTGTTTTCATAGAACATGTTTTTTTTTTCATGAACTCTCTGGAGACTCCTTCCATGTACCACATTGTTTATCCATGTATCAGTTCAAGGAGATTTGGGTTTTACTATCAGGTATTATGATTTCATGCACAGGTTTTCATCGTATATGTCTTATCATACATAGAAACACACTCCTTTGGAATTAACTATATGATCATTTTCTTTTGATGGAATAATTTTCTTTTCTCTTACTCTTCAAAAATGATGCCTTCTGCTTATATACAGAGAGTCCAAGTTAGGAAACCTGTGCATGGTAGGGTTTGGAGTAAAGAAAAAATGGCTTCAGAGCATGTCTGCTGGCACATTGGATTAGCTTTAGATTCTGAGCCCATTGTTCTTTCTTCATTGAATGTCTACTGTGTTTAAGAATCATGTGGGCATTGTGAACGTGGAGAAGGAATTGCAAGGTCATAGCCACCAAAAAAAAATGGGCATATGCTTTGCCTGAATCAGCTTCTAATGTTTGTTAAAGGAAAAATCAGGGTAATAACAGGTAGAACAGGTGTACTTTAAATGCTCACCGGCCTCTCTCTCCTCCAAAGGCCAGGACTGTCCTTGCAGGAACAGAAAATCCTTCCTGCAGAAAGTAGTGATTTCAGCTTAACAAGTTAGACAGATGAAGTTGAGCTCCTGGCATAGCAATTGTGGCATGGGAAACAAGGACTTACCTCCAGGGAACTCTGTTATAAAGCCTCAGCAGGGACTCTTCCTGGTGGCTAAAGTCCTTGCCTTGTATATGCCAGGATCCCAGCTGGTCACTGGTCTGTAAATCAGCTGCTCCACTTCCCATCCAGCTCCCTGCTTGTTGCCTGAGAAGGCAGTTGAGGACCGCTCAAAATCTTGGGGCCTTGTACGCATGTGGGAGACCCAAAAGAAGCTCCTGGCTCCCGGCTTCGGATTGGCACAGCTCCGGCCATTGCAGCCACTTGGGAGTAAACCAGTGGATAGAAGATCTTTCTCTCTCTCTCCTTTTCCCTGTAAATCTGACTTTCCAATAAAAATAAATCTTAAAAAAACCTCAGCAGTAAGGGAATGTGGAAACTGAGAAGGGTTTATGTTTCTAGCTTGTAAATACACATTTAATCAGTAGTTCAGTAAGTGTTTAGCCTTGTGGTTAAAATACCAGTCAAGATGCGCACGTCTCCTATTGAAGTACCTGGGTGTGATTCTCAGCTGTGGTTCCACACTGCAGACCCTGCAAAGTAGTGGTAATGGCTCAAGTAATTGGCTTTGTGAGATATCTGGATTGAGCTCTTGGCTCCTGGCTTCAGCCCAGACCAGTCCTGAGTGTTTCAGCCATTTGGAGAGAGAACGAGCAGATGGAGTCTCTCTGTCCATTTTCCCTTTCTCCTTCCCAACTCCCTTAATCCCCTCTGCCTTTACTCTTTCCCTCATTTTGTCTCTGTGTCTCTCAAATAATAAAACATTGAAGAAATATCTTGTAATATTTAAGCTGTCTACAATTCTCAAGACTGGAAAATAGGAATAGGTGTTAGCTGGGAGTTAAGATGAATGTGTTCCACCTGAGTTTGCTACCAGCCTCCAGCTCTCTGCTGCTAGAGACCCAGAGAAGTATTATTGATAACAGATGTGCTTGAGTTTCTGTCACCTGTATGGGAGGCCTGGGCTGCATCCTTGGCTCCTGCTTCAGCACCA